GGGTGGGTGTGGGTGTGGGTGTGGGTGTAGTTGTGGGTGTGGGTGTGGGTGTGAATGTGGGTATGGATGTGACTGGGGAAGTGGGTGTCGATGTTAAACTTACCTTAATTCATACACACACCCACACTCACCCCTAAATTATGAAGATAACTATTTTAATCATAGGAGAAGCAGAAGAAATTATCGAAATTATCCAAATACAAATGTTGGATTTTATCATAAATTGAACTATGGCCGAAATATTTATTATAATCGTAATTATCGACCACCACCATATTATCTTGGCTATGGAATTGTTAATCAATCTATTCAACCACTGGCACAAAGAAGATTTGTTCGAAGAACATCTCGTCAAAGAAGAATTAGTCAATATCGACCAAGAACTTGTTCAAATCAAAGACATAGTCGATTAGGACAACAGCGTAAACGTTTTCCAAGGCAAATACGTTTAAATGATTTTATGCCAGTCGAACTACGTGAAGCTTCACCAAGTCTTCGAGTAGATTTTAATTTAGCTACAACTGCAGCTACAACTACAGCTTCAAATATAAATAATGTGCCAGTTGATGCATTACCACAACGTGTAATTTTTGCTACAAATACAACTCAACCATTTGATGTAAATAATGAAAATAATAATCAACAGCAACAGGCCTATGGTTCAAATCAACAGCGACAAACAACAATTACTACTACAACATCATTTCGACGTCGACAAAGACGAGTTCGCCAACAACAACATCGTGAAAATCAAAATGTTATTGAAAATAATCGATTTGATGTATTGGCTGAAAATGATCCAAGTGATGATGTTGATTTAATATCGAATGTCGATGAAAATGAACCAACTTTGTCTACAAATAGCAATAAAAGGGTAAAAAGTAAAAAGGATAAGAAAAAGAAAAATCGAGCCTATTTTGCATATGATAGTATTATGGCATGGGTTCAAAATGAGACATCTTCAATTGATATTCTTGATACAAGTGGTAATCATGCTTATTTTATGGCTTCAATTCCTATTTATGATGAATGGATTCGAGCTAATTATGATATACAAGTATGGTAACATTATTTAAAAATGGGTACTGAACATAAACATTGGGCAAAAGAAATCATTCAACGAACTAAAAAACGTGATGATTTCGTTAATTCACAATTTGTGAAAAAGAAAATCAATCAATTATCAACTTTAGTTGCTCAAGCCAATGCAACTATCACAGATTTAAAAATTCAATTACGCACATACTGGTCACAAGTACCAGGATATAGAAAAATTAACCCAATAGCTGATAATACAACCCAAACTGCTATGCCAACAACAGAATCTTCAATTACAATAGAAGCAACTACTACTACAGCTGCACCTGTAACTCCGACAACAGCTATAACAGCACAGGCCACAGTAACATCGAAATCAGTAGTTGTTTCATTAAGTATTGAAAGAATTCGAAGTAAAACTGATGAACTTGAAAAATTAATATTAAAATACTTGCAACATTGTACTCAACACGTAAAGAAAATGCATGAAACTCATATTCAATTAGCCAAAATACAAATGGATGAATTTAAAGCTTTAGAAGAATTTGAACAAATAACTACTCCATCTCAGTGGAATGTTCATTTGGCATTAAAATCTAAAATGAAACTTTGGTCAACTAAGCATAAAAATTATCTTACAGCCACAAAACGTATTGAATATGATATGCCTTCAAAATTCATTGAAAAAGTTGATTTATCCTTTAAAATCGATGAATCTATTATTAATCAAGATGAAGCTCAAGCTACATATAATCAAATGCGTCAAATTACAAAAGAATTTCGAACGCAAGCAATGACATTATATGTACAATCATTAGGTCGAGAAAATGAATTATTATCAAATGAAATTACACGTATTATTGAAGGATTTCCTCAAGAAAACGATGATGGATCCTATGCTGAACCTGGTTATGCAGCATTCAAATATTATCATAAATTAAGAGAAAAATGATTAAATTTAGAAGCTGAACAATCGATTTGTTTTTTATCCGAACAGCGAGTCGAGGGCGACACAAACGATCCAGATGAGATCATTGCCCCGACTCTAATTCGATCGCTGGGCGAGGAATTCTTGCTCCAGCTCTAATTAATCAAGCACAAATTCGATTAACCGAGGATGAATATGAGTTATTAAAATTAGGTCCTCGGTTTATTTATAATGATCCACAAACGGCATCTCGTCGACGTACAATTGAACTAGCAGCTCTTAAGCGAAAAATAGAAGCTCGATTCTTCGACAAAAAACTTAGTCCTGGTCGTCCTGTCGAACAATTTATTGCCGAATTGGATTTATTACTTCAAAAATTACATAATGTATCAATAAATAATCAATATCAAAAACATAAAGAATTAAATCATATTTCATTTGAAAACTTATTATCTACAATACAATTAAGTCAATCTCAAAGTATTTATATAAATTCTACAAAAAAGAAGAAAAATTACAACCGATTAGTTAAACGATTAAGATATAAATTAAAATTAACTAATACAATATTACGGAAATCAGATAAATCAAAAGTATTCCATTTAGGTCGATCAGAAGATTATCAAAAGAAATCTGAAGAATATATGGTTAGAACTGAAGCATATAAATGTTTAGAAACACATAATCCATTACCAGATCTAATTAAAAGAACAAATAAATATTTGTTAGATTTACGATTAGCTAAATGGATTACTCAAAAACAATATGAAACATTATGTATTAATCCAAATGAAGTTGAACTTCCACATCTATATTCTTTACCAAAAGCACATAAACCAGGTACTCCTCTTCGTCCAATAATTTCTGGTCTAAAACATCCTACAATCAAAATATCTAAATATCTTGGCAATCTTCTTCGACCAATCTTTGATAAAATGGCTTTCGAAGATAACTGTCAATTCAGGTTTTGAATTATTAAAACAGATACAAAAATGATCAGAGTCTAATTTAAAACAAGAAACTATATTTTGTACAATTGATGTAGCAGATCTTTATACAATGGTACCACAAACTGGAGGAGTATTATCTTTAAAGAAAATTTTAGATTATTTAAAATTAAAAAGTATTGGTAGTCTTAAAATAGAAACCATTATTTGATTAAGTCGATTTGTTATGCAAATAATAACTATTTTTCTTATAATCGTTAATATTATCATCAAACTCGAGGAGAGGCTATGGGTTCTCCTCTTACTTTAACTATTGCTAATTGTTATATGTTCTTCTATGAACAGCAAATTATTAAACAAATAAGCAATAGTGGTGGATTATATTTTCGATATATTGATGATATATTTATAGCAATAAACTGGCCAGCTCGACATTTATTCAAACAAATTGATGGATGGAATCATTTTGATGAAAATATTAAATTATCAAAAAATATTGGTTCAACAGCTGATTTTCTTGATTTGCATATAGAAAATCAAGATGGTCAATTATTTACTACAATTTTTCAAGAACCATTTTATGAACCATATTATTTGCCATTTAATAGTATCCATCCTTTACATATGAAAAAGAATATAATTTTTACTATGTTACTTCGTGCCATCAGATATTGTTCATCATTTCAAACTTATTTAAATGAGCGTGAAAAATTACGAATGGCATTACTATTAAATAAATATCCAAATAGATTTATAGATGAACAATTTCATAATATTTTAGCTAAAGTTAATATTAATCAACCATTAATTTTACAAAATTATAATGAATGTCGTAAAACGGTAATTAATCTTCCAATAAAAGAGAAGATTCCTTTGAATTATGGAACAACAATGTTTATACATTTTACATTATACCTATTTTGGGTACTCGTAATGTTAACAATCTCCAAAGACGATTAATCCATACTCGAACATGAAATAATACTGTTTTAATAGCCTGTTTTATAGGCTTATATATAGAGTGATACAAAATCATATTAATTAAGGAACAAACTACATTATATCTCCACCAACCGTATAGAGATATACAAGTGGTAAACAATACTATAAAACAGCATATACTAAACAAATTAAAAAATTTGGATACAATTCATTATTAAAGAAGTCAGTTTTAAATACACAACCAGATGGAAGACAATGCTATCACACAGTTTAATTGAAAGATGTACTGACTTTAGATTCAACATCTTCATTTTCAATTGGCAAAATTAACTCTGCATTATTTTGAAATATTTATAATTTAAACTGATTTATTTATTTAGTAGACATATATTGTTTGATTTG